GCCGCTGGTGATAAGGACCAAGCTCAGACTATCGCTACATGCATTCAATTAGCTCAACGGTCCTCTTCAGAGCCCCATTCGAAACATCTATTTATAAGCAATGAAGCGCTTGCTCGATAGAATGTCTCCTGATATACTGGTCCCTGTTTGTGCGTGTGAAGAGTATTCATTGTGGGCTTGACCCCATTTGTGGGCTATAGACTAAAGTGGGAACTATTCAGTTCTCCTCCATGGAACGTACCCTACGACACGAGCATTAATCATGTTTGCAAGAGAACTTTGTTGTTCAGCACAATACCATTGAAATGAGAGGCTTATTTTGCGTGTTTGCGATGAAAGCCGTCTGCACAAGTAGGCGCTTATTCCACGTTAGCTGCAACCTGCCTGAGCGGGATACGCCGTGGATCGAAAGCAGAGGAACTTCCTGTGGACTGGTTCCACCAAAGAAACATATAGAGCTCCTCATGATTGCGACATTGATGCAGAAGATGAGCGGAAGATGGTGAGGCTGATCCTGGCTTATTGTCTCACAGATAGCGTGCCACGCCAACACTGGTGATTTGCCGAAATTTCTCTATACGACACTAACCGCGCTGCCAAGCTGCCCAAAGATACAATATAACGAACTATGCTGCGCCGGTAACCATGCTTCTGGTGGCAGGTCGGAGGTTGCTGATGGTGAGGATGGTGTTCTATTGGCTGCTTCTAGTACATTTGAGACGAAGTTGCTCCAGCCTGAATCTGTACCTCAGGAATTATGTCATGTCATTGTTATTTGTAACCTGAATGATATTAATATCAAAGCTACAGTTAAAATTCAAGAGTTTTGCAACAGTCTTAGGAAGCGAAGTATGTTTACAGTCGATATCCGAGAGTTGGGGTAGGCGTGTCACCGGAAGTGACGTGCACTTGATAGAAGCTATGTGGATAAGCTGCTTCCAACATACATCGCTGGATATCAGCAAAGCATGCTGGCAACAGCTTATCCACGCAACTTCTATCAAGTGCACGTCACTTCCGGTGACACGCCTACCCCAACTTTCGATATCGACTGTATGCAGTGCTTGTATTTCTGATTCCTCTCACGGTGATAAGATGCAAAACCAATTCTAGAAGCAGTAAACCAAACTAAACAGCTAAAGAAAACTAATGCCTGCTCATAATTCAAATGTTCCTCCACTGGTTGGAGTGCTTCTCTTCTGCTTAATATCTTGAAGGAATCTTGCGCGGAAAAATCATGATTCTATTTCAGCCATAAATCACTGGCTTGAGACCCATTATCCACGATAATAGTGAAAAGAACTAAAATATTAAAAAAAAAAAAAAAAAAAATAGAAAAGAACAGAAGTATTGCTTTCGTTTTGATTAGAAATTCGAAAACTCGAAAAGGCTGCTACGCGTTCGAATTGCCCACGGACGTCTTTCACGAATGCTGGCGACGGGGATGCTCAAACTTGGTTCTTGGAGTGCATTCACTAGAAGCTCTTTCTGGCCTTCTGCTTCGTTGCATTCACATCTTACACTTCTACTCCATCCTATTCCATCGATCGATTTGTCTCCACTCTCCGAAATCGCGCGCTTTAACCCGATTCTCTCATTGCGTCGCCTGGTACGTAGCCGGCCAAACGCCGTCTTCTTTCCATGCCTCGCCTGGCTCTGCCTCCTGGTCCTTCGATGGTCCATAACGTGTAGTTTTTGTACGTTTGTTTCTCTTCAGAAACCGAATCTTCATGCGTGAAACTTTGTGTGCTATTTCCAGTGATCACAACTGACATATTCATGTTAGGAAAGAGTGCAAGAATTTTCCGCGCAAGATTCCTTTAAATTCTACTTTTAGCTTTTTTTTGAACCTTTCTCCACGTTTACCTACACAGTTGCGTGGAGAGCTACTGACTTGAAAAATACTCAACTCAACATTTGGCAGTGATTCGATCACTTTCAGTTTGGAGCCATTTATGCGAAGAGATAGTGTGAACATGCACATTCCAGCTTACGCATGTCCCTCATTGCTGAACTGCCCCACCTCCCGATCCCATATTTTGCACTGATTTCTTCGCCAGCATTTCGCTCAGGGGTAGAGACAAGCAGCGTGCGTCTTCGCCGGAGGCCCTCCTCTCAATTAGAGTTGTAATCTTGTTTTGCTTGGTTTCACTTTTGAGTCCCCAAAACACACCTGGAGAGACAAGCTGACGCGCTTGCACGTCAGGCAAATCGCGCCCACCTAATCGCCCATGGGCCGTATTCAATACTTCCCCAAAGGGGATGCATTCCCCTGGCGGAAGGATTGAGTACGCTACCCTCCATCACTGAAGCACTCTTTTCCCTGAAGAGTTGCACTACTCTAACTGTCTAGCAGATAGAAACATAACGATCTTTTGACGCAACCCTTTCTTACCGCCCCCCCTTCATTCCAAAGCTGTGGAGGAGGACGCATCCTCGTGGAAAGGATTGCATACGGCCCCACGTCCCATGTGGCGAAAAAACCAAAACCTGCGCTGTCGTCAACATGCTAATGATCGCCATCACCTATAGCGAAGTCGTAGGCCCTGTTCAGAGATGTCCGCCGGCGCGAAAAAACGCACAGGCGAAAATCTCCGCCAAGATTTAGATACGCATCGACTGAGAAATTGTGAAACGCGTAAGCGAAACGTCCGGAGCAGGCGAATTTCAGTCAAGAGTTTGATATGTATCGACTGTGAGAAACGCACAGGCGGAAAATCGCGTGAGCGAAGCGTTCGTAAGTCGATGCGTATGATACTCATTTTCGTCGATCCTCCCACTTCACGATTCGCCTGTGCGTCTTCGTTCAGTCGATACATATTTCACATTGTTTCGCCTATGCGTTTTTTCGCGCAAGCGGACATCTCTGAACAGGGCCTAATAGATGTCGCGCGTAGAGTAGGGCGCAGTGTGTGAACCTGCCTGCACCACATTTTATTTGACGCACTCAAATTGTTGAAAGTTTTATCCGCATTCCCTTATGCTTTTTAGGATATGTTGTGATGTTGTGCGCTTTTTCTATTTCGAAATATCTCGGCGGTGTTGCATATGAAAGGATTGCTTAACTTGATTGGGAGAGACCATGCGGCGGCGCGGTGGCTTTCTTCGTCTGTTCCTCCAAAGGCTTAGTCCCAAAGCAGTTACTATTTTTGCCATCACGTGGCAGTTTCGAAATACTCACCATTGGGGATTAACCCTTTGGAGGAGCAGACGAAGAAAGCAGTGCACCACCGCGTGGTCCCCCCAATTAAGTTACCACCATACGGCCTGCCCCATACGGACTTTTGTGTCACCTATATCAGCTTACACGATGCAGTTCACGCTGACGTTTCTCTCAGGTTGTTATTTTTGCATATAGGTTTATTCTCCGTCCATAACAGGACCAGACAGTGAAATCGTAGAAATAGTGGTTCACAGGAAGCGCTGCATTTTTCAATCCTTTCATCAACTTTCACGGAAGAAGAGCTACACTGAATTGTTCATAAACTTTGACTTTACATTTAAACTTTTCGTATAGCGAAAAATGCGGAGGCAGATATCTTGTTTATACCTAGAATTCACGAATCAGAATTGTATACCTAAAATCCGTTGATCTAATAATAAGATGATATGCTTGTTTATCGTAGTAGTGTTGTCTTCCAAATATGAGGTCTCCTTTCGCGTAGTGAATTTTTAGTTCCCCCGTAGAGTCGGAATACAGGCGTTGTGAGCTGTGCAATGGTAATTATACAAATCTGATTCCTCACGGTTTTGGGAAGGCGGGGGACTTCCAAATATGTGCCTCCAGATATGAAAATTTATTCCCGAGCTAGGATCACACTTTGTGAGGAAAATATGGATTGGTATGTATCCAGAATTTTTACATCCTTCTCTCGTCATAGCTAAGTGGTGTCATTGTTGAATAGCTGTGACCATCGTCATCCCCTCGCCTTATTCTAGATTTTTTCTGGTTCCGTGTTGCGCAATTTTCTATAAGTTCTAGTAGTGTGTATGACATTTTAGGGTTGATTGGGCACACTGCTACATTGTTTATATATATGGAACGGAAGTGTGTGGTGTTGTGGAATGGGGCTTACGCATATAGGTTCTATTATCTGGATTATGTCTGCGTTCTCTGTCTCGCTCGAGCCATCTTTCATCCCTCCGGCGTCAGTCATTTGGTGCCAGACCTTATGGGAGGATATATAACTGATGTACATCGGGTTGCCCCCCCCCCAATTCATTGTATAAGCCAAATCGTATCCTAGTCGTCACAACTATCCTAAATGAAAGTGGAATGCGCGGCGCATCTCAAGACGGGACTGACCACCGCCAAATGCTTTATCCTTTTATCTCTCGTAAGTCTAGATCCAACAAGGCTTGTTTGACTTCTCCTCTGAAACTTCAAAGTTCCTTCGAAGCAAAATGCAGAAGTGGTTTTAGTCGGAGAATAGTCTGGAATGTGACCTCTATTTGGATTGCATAGTCCGAATTGTTTGATTGTCTCATTCTGCTTAGTTTTGATTCTCTGACGGCAAAATCTTTCATTTACTCATGAAGTGGAATCATCCACTGCTCGTTCTATCTTTGTAATGTTGAGCGATTGTTTATCAGTACTACCCCCTCGTTTTCAGAAGGCAATGATCGAATAAGGAAGGGGCACCATCATCATGCGGCTTTATCGTCGTGCTATTCTGGCAATGGTTGCCCTATGCTCATTCTTCTTAGTTGGGAACTTAACTTTTTTCAGAAGAAGCGGTGCCAGTGAGCGTGGTAGGTCGTTCATTTTGATAGCATTGATTTCCTGTTTGGCATTACTCCATGAAAACGAGAGAATTTTTATATAATTTTCAAGTTTCGGACGAAGCGAAATCCGCTGCAGCGTTGTCAGATGAAGTTCCAGAAACCAGAGATCTCCCGGCTACGCATGAGGGTCTGTCATCATAGCCTTAAAAAGAGGGCATAGTAATATTATGCAGATGTCTCAAGTGTATATGTTTAATTCAGACAGCTGTTCTTATGATCCGTCTTGCCCACCTCCTCAAATTCTTTTTCGATTGCACGCAGAGAACCGCAAATTCTCCACCGTTCGCTTGTCTGAATGACTTAAAGTAAGCTTTTTTTTCTCGTTTTTGCTCAATGTCCTTTTAATTTCCACAATTGAAGGTTGTTTGATGGGCAACACCTTAAGAAAGGAGTGAATCTTGTTTCTCTGAATGGTTCTTCTGGAGATGTCGAATCATCTGCTTCGTTTGATGTGGCAGCTTCAGATGGAGAGCTCATCAACTGGTTGAGGTGATTTCTTGCTTTTTCTGAATTTTATTTTACCAAAGCTATCATTCGAGTGTATGTATGTGTATCGTCTAGGTCCTTGCCTCCGTCCTCGCTTATAATCGGTGTGTCCTTCGGGGATGTGGCCGAGCGAGTTTCTGCTGACGCCCGTGCAGCATTGGCATCATTTGGTGCGGTAAAGGTTGCCGATTGGCGAGGAGCTTCATCATATGCAATTTTGGGTCAGCATGGATTACAGCAACATGCATACGAAGTTGTAAGTTGATAAAGCACTTAGTTATACGACTAGCAGCCATTCCTAGTAACTTTGCCCATCTTCAATCTACGTAGTTTGGTTTTATTCATTACTGCCTGCGTCAACTGCATTCTTTGGTTTCGACTACATTTTCCCCATCCCGCTCTCACTTTTTTCTATTCATTTGCTCTTTCTTACATTCTCTTTTCTTGTGTTCCACGGCGTCGTTGTCAGTATGTTATCCTCTGTTCATAGGCTAAATAACAGAGCTACATGCACGTCTGCGCAGTGCGGCTTACCCGCTTTCTTCACGATTTGGGGCGCGGCCGCGGCGGGCGTGGACGAGTTGGTAGTGCCCGCGAACTGTGCGGGTAGGTTTTAAAGATTACGTGACTACTTGAACTCTCCCTTATGTTCTCTGCCGAGAAAGGCCAGAGCACAGACGATTAGAGAACGGTGCCTGGCTCGGCTTCAAATCCCAACCAAGAAGGTGAGAGCTCTAGGACTAAGCCTTGAAGGGAGGAGGGACTCCGTAGTGGATGAGCCAATTATATTGTGGCAAAGTTTGAATACATAAGATCACAGTAATCATAAAGCGCTGGTTAAGCGAGAGAGCGCAGGCGAGAGCGTCAAATCGAGGCGGTTTAAAGGGCTGAGTTCAAGTTGTCCGTAGACCAGGTTTTAAAAAACTCCGTCAGCGCAGTTCGCGGGCAATATCAATTCGGCCGCGCCTCATCGTGAAGAAAGTGGGCGCATTGTCGATTGAAATTTTGTACCGCATGTTTTACAGTGGTTTTTTGCTCCTGATTTTTTTTTGATTTGATCGGCTTCTCCCAGTCCTTGGGATTTTCGAGATGCTCTGATATTGCTACCAACACTGCTCAAAGCTGTTTCCTTTTCTTCCTTCTTTGGTTCGTCTTTAGATCCCTACTGGCCTAGCTCTATTGATTCAGCGCTTTTTTGTAAGCCAGTGTCATGCAGTTAACATCGAAATCATAATCTTTAGTATTGTTCTATCGCTGAGCTTTACGGCGATCTGAATGTATAACAACAATGTGAGACTCCAAAATATTAATACGAGAGACTCAAAAAAAACTTCTAAAAAGCCTTTTCCGAAAGTTTGTAAGCCTTCTTTTGGCGAATTTTTTGTCCCTTGGTGCCTTTGTCAAAGTAAGAATACGAAATGGGATAATGAGTAGCACAATGAGCTTTATTTTTCAGCTAATATATTAAAACTGTTGAGTAACCAACCAGCTGTCACTCCGTACTGCTACTGGTCTGTGAAGCGGAAACTATTCCCTACCTCGTCCCGAAACGAAACCGGTCATTCCAACTCAAATGTGCGGTCGTGGAAACCGTATGCCACACCTGATAGGATTCTCTGGTAACCGCACGTCGACGAAGTAAACGAAATGGAACGTTAACAATGTAGTTAGGAATTCTCCGCTTCCAACACGGCTATATCCTTTCACCTCCCAGCTTGAAAGGACTGCTCATAGACTCCAGGCCTAAAAAGCTACAAGCCGATGTCAGACTTTGCGAATCCAGCGTACGCGTACACGGGGTACGAGCGTTGCACCAGCGATCGAACTATGTACTAGCGGATCGAACGGTGTCAAAGCGACTCGACGCTGTTTGAAAGACTGGACTCCCTGTTTGCACGTTGACTCTCGCTACTTTCTCGAGCTCTCATGCCTTTCACTCTCTCATGCCCTCGTGAGCCGGGAAATGGCGAGAGCCAATGTTCAAATTGAGTCCCGCCACTTTCAAACACTGTCGAGTTGCTGCTACATCGTTCGAACCACTGGTACACAGCTCGATTCGCTGACGCAATGCTCGTATCTCGCGAATCGCTGGAGCGATGAGCTGGATTCGCAAAGTCTGACACCGGCCATATGTGGAAGGAGCGGTGGCGGTTACTGTGATGAGGATAAAATATGCCAATTGACGGGTTCAGTTTTTCTACAGAATGTCAAGGATGCGAGCAAAAGTATGTTGAGGAAACAGGAAGACCTCTTCACAAACGACTGGGCGAACATTGGAGGGCTCTGTAAAATTCCGTCTCGTATCCAGAGAATAGTTTTTCTGAAAGTAGAACCCAAAAACATGCCCTTGGGACCCTTGAAACCCTCTACGCGTTAATATCAAGTCTATGTCCATTTAACTTGCGCAAAATCACTACAGCACGCTGCGACTCGTCCGCTGTCTCTGCCTTATTGCCGCGCGACGGGCCTCCTGTCGGGTACCCGAATTCTTACTCGAATTTTCATGGTATATTTTTTGCCATGGCTTGTCAGCACTCACACTACCAAGTGTTGTCGGCTATTCGGCTCAACAGTGGCAAGGAAAATATCAGAGGCACTGGAAAAAGAGATTAGGTTCAGAAGTAAATAGTAAGGACGACATACGTGATTCTCTTCAACTCACCGCATGATGCAGTAATCAGCACTGCGGAAATGAATGTGATATCTTGTGACGCCACGCTCATAGCAAGTCCACGCTAAGGGTTAGATCGGAAGGAAATGGTTTCGCTCCACATACCAGTAACAGGATGGTGAGACTTCATATTTGTGAGTGGCAGCAGGTAATCAGTTGATTTAGTTTTGATATATTTACTGGAAAACAAAGCTCGTTATACAACTCATTTAATACATTCAAAAACAGTAGGGTTACTACGGAGAACGGAGGCAAGGCTATATTTTTCTATATTCAGGTAGTACCACAGTCATTTGAGCATAGTGTGCATGCAATTGAGGGCTGTTTCGATGTACTCTTGGAGATGTTCGCACCATAAACATAACACAGGAGCTCTCCGATATTCAAAGGTTGGTTGAAATACACATAGTCAAAGTAAAACAATAAAGTTTAAGTTAAAATTTAGATACGATTAAAAAATTCGTCAGTTTAATTTAGCGCCTCTTGCTATGCATTATTTTAGAAGTTTTTTTCATGTAAAACATGACAATAAAACTAGATGTGGGATGTCGAGCGGCTGTTATACGTTACGATTTAGCGTTCCTATCGCTACTATATACAGGGCGGAGGAAGGGAGGTTATAAAAGGTCATTACCCGGTGGCGCATCGCGCAGTTTCCGCCTTGATGGAGGTTCTACGACAGGATATTTCTTAGATGTCCTCAAATTTCAGCATAGGCAAACCCTCATTTTAGCCCTCCGACGTCATCTTCCGTCCATCACTGTCGAGCTTTCAAAGGGCTTACCGTACATCCTCTGTCTTGAAGCTGCCTACATTCAGTTTTTATATTATTTTTCAATTTTTCTCATCGGCTTAGGTGTTGTTGATGTATAACCTTCTAAGAGAAGGCTTAGCGTGGGATGTACGCGAGATTCTTGCGCAACAGCATGTCCTAATGTACTAATTGGCATTCATCCGTCCGGCGGGGCGCTACCGTGAGTTCGGCCCGTAGTTTTCCTGGGACAAATGTTTCGACTGCCATCGGCGTAGAAGGCTGATTATGAAGTTTCCTAATATAATGGAATGTGCTATCCGAAATCAGTTGTTGCATTCGGTTTGAATTTAGAAAAGTGTAATTATCTACGTTTGAAAGTAGAAGGCGAAGACGTGACTTCCTTTGCCCTGTCTGTAGAAAGCGCTGAGTGTATCTGTTCGTGTGTGTCCGTCACGAAATTCGGATTACCTGAAGACTACCTGCAGAGTCGCGCGTTAAATTTTTGATGCATGGGGCATGGCTTGGAAAACGCACATCAGCATCTGGAGCTCCACTACGGTGGGCGGGACATGCTATATGGGTAGTGCGGATGACAGAAATTTTGAAGACCATTCCAGAACGGTTCGGCGACCGGAAAGAATAGTGAAGGTGTGCACTGAGTGCTAATGCGAAATTTCGCAGGAGACTCCCGCAGCCGGTGTGTGGGTGCCCACAAAACCTCGTAACTCGGTTAGGAGAATAGTTCAAGAAAAAGCTGGTGTTGAAGAGCAAAATGGGGTGTCCCCAGCATACCCGAAAAGACTGAGTGAGACTACGCTCACTTTGGCGGACGGTCTGCTCGAGTGCGTAGTCAAGTCTCGGCATTTGAGTTCACGAGACTGCCCCACATCGCGCGGGAAATGCGCAGAGGTTGCGAAGGAGGAGTGGCGGGAGCCATGGGGTGTTGTGACATGCAATCAAAAGTGGGCGGAGTTTGCTGAAAGCACATATACTCGATCCGACGACGTTAAGGATAACCGTGAAAGAGTTGAGCGTATAGCTAGCAAGAATACGAGTCAATTGCTTGGTGCAGAGAGCGTTGTCGTAGTAGGCGGGAGTCGCCACAATTCTAGATTCGGGATTTCTGAGGCCAGCCCTGAAATACAGGAAAAAGTGGATATGGGGGCTAACAAAGAGAGTAGTCAACTGCTATTTGACGGGAAGGACAATGCCATGAAGTACATCGAAGTGTACCTATAGCGAAGAAAGAAGACAAGTGCCGATTGGAGCGGTAAGGCGTGGCACCACTGTGACGGTGCCGCAGAAAATCCAAAATCCGCAACAAGTGTGGTATATTCCGTGTTGTTGTTGCTATGCCATACAGGTTGTTACGGTGGAATAGATTTATTCGGTCGACGTTTCGAACAATTCGTCGTCTTCAGGACCTGAAGTTGGTTCGTAGTTCTCAGCTCGTAATCAATCCGGTCAAATCCCCGTCATATTTCTCAGGATACAAATAGAGAAAGATTCCAACGAAGAAACTGACCTTACTGCTACTCCACCAGCGTCACGCAGCCAGCCAATTCTCAGTAGATATAAAAAAAATGAGACACCCTCGCGTGAGGACGTCAACGGTACGCGCGTTGTCTCACAATCTCACAATGATTGTGAGACAACGCGCGTACCGTTGACAAAATGATTGTGAGACAACGCGCGTACCGTTGACGTCCTCACGGGAGGGTGTCTCATTTTTTATATCTACTGAGAATTGGCTGGCTGCGTGACGCTGGTGGAGTAGCAGTAAGGTAAGACGAGTAAGGTGAAGACGACGGGAATCTGCAACGTCGACCGGAAATAAACT